GTTTGTGGTCAGTTTCTCGTTTGTGGTCAGGTTCTTGTTTGTGGTCAGGTTCTTGTTTGTGGTCAGGTTCTTGTTTGTGGTCAGGTTCTTGTTTGTGGTCAGGTTCTTGTTTGTGGTCAGGTTCTTGTTTGTGGTCAGGTTCTTGTTTGTGGTCAGGTTCTTGTCAAGACTCAGTGCCATCTATTTCTCAACCAAAAATCTCACATTTGAAAACTTTTGGCAGATGCAAGGAATATCACCACCTGTGGAGACCCAGGCGTGCCTCTGCACGGCACACGGTCTGAGCTTGAGTACGGCACTTTTAATACCAGCGATATCATTCAATTCATGTGCGAGGAAGGGTACAAACTCACTGGGTCTGAGTCCAGAGAATGTCTGGCCAACGGTACTTGGAGTGGCCTACCAACCACCTGCAATAGTAAGACACGAACATGGCACAATGAACTTGATATAATATCTCACATATCTCATGACTTGTAAAGGCAAAATCAGAGGTTTCTTTATGATCTAAGAATAGCAAATTTAACTAATTTTTAGATTTGGAAAAAGTTTGATTTGGGCTTTAAAAAAATCCATCATTAGCCTATTTGTAATACAGTGTACAACGAACCTTAGCACGCTCTCTTACTGAACGTGTTCCACTGTGCATAGTACGTCTTCAGTTTTCTGTTTGGACAGGCAATAAAAATTATAACTTCCTTTAAGAGTCCTGAACTCCTGATCTAGATGTTCTATTTATCCGAACAGTTATTACTTGTGAAGAACCGACGCCAACAGCAAATGGTAACGTCACTGTGTTGTCGGCCGAGTACCGAGGCTTGGCCATTTTGTCCTGCGCGGAGGGATACGAAATTGACGGCGAAGCACTAATTGTATGCATGAGCAACGGATTGTGGACTTCACCTAACTCCACGTGCGTCGGTAAGGCTTACGGTGTCTTTTAAACCTTGGAATCGTCTTAGTTTGGGCTTCTGGCTTTGAGATTAGCTTCTGCGATGAAAGAATAAGGCACAAAGTTCTTGCACCGAGACATCAACCGTCTCATGTACGTCAACAGTTATATTTTCATTGCAGTAAACGTTTGAAATTGATTGTAGAATCAAAAATGAATAGCCAGAGACGGAGCGAGGCTTGATGAGAAACCTACAAAGTTGTCTGCTAAGTCTAAACCTAGAAATGGGTTAAGGGCGTAAGACGTCTCTCTGTCGATCAGAAGAGATTATGTTATGAACTTGGTTTAAATAAGATTTTTTTCAGATTAGATTTAGTTCTAAAGGATCGTCAAAGCTCTGGTAGAATTGGGATGGGCAGTTTCCGTGTAGTTGATGCACATCTGTAACCCTGGAGAATTTGTCTCCGTATTTAGAAGTGCGAGTGACCAGCCCCGAATATCTGACGACATCAAGCGAAGTTACTGCTGTTGTTTCCACAAGTAAAGCTGCTTCCACGACCACACAGCCTACAAGTTACTCATCAGCGACATCAGTAGAGCTAACTACTCTACAACTGACCTCCAGACCCGATACTGGAGTGTCTACCTCGATAACAGACCACTCTGGTGGAACAACTCCAGAAACATCAAATCCAACGACACAAGGGGTTGCCACAGTACCGACATTATCAACTGGAAAACCTATATCCACATCGTATGCAACTACGCCATCAGCACATTTAACACCCGTGGAGTCGACCGCTCCACATTCCACTACAGCTCCACCACAAGCCACGACTCGGGTTAAACCTTTGTCAACACATCACGTGACAGAAGTGGCCACCACGTTGCCGTCCATTTCAAGGACCATGAGTGAGAGCCTGACGACATCAGAGGATGCCATAACCATCGTTTCGACAGATGCAGGTAAAACTAAGTGTTGCTTTTGATAAGGTGTTATTAATCAATGCAAAAGGTTTTCTGATGCTTTAAGTTGGTTTTGACAGCAATTGATAACAAGCTAGATCGTCCCTCTACGAGGCAATTCGGGGGTAAAAAAAACACCCAACATTATACCAACTTCAACCTCTTTGTGCGTTTGACTCGGCAAAAGATAGAGCCCGTATTTTTCTTGCTTTAATTCGATTTGTGTGTTTTGTGCTGGGATGTAAAAATAGAGCAAGGACTGCACTGTTTCTCAAAAACTGATGGTCGTAAATCTCTCTGACATTAGGTAGCCCAGATGACGAAGCCACATTGGGATCCACCGAACTGCTTATAATAAGTACGTATCCATGGTAATTCCACTTAATTTCATTCCTAAATTGTTGTTTTCAAGCTGGAATATGACAAGATAACAAGTTTGAACATGTTGAAACCGGATTAAAACAGAAATTTGTTGAATACTGTAGGCATTCGTTGATTCAAAGTGTCCAACGTTGTTGTTTCTTTTCCTTATTTCTAGTCACCGTTAGCTCCATTCTGGGTCTGATCCTGTTGATTTTCCTGCTGATAACCATTTGCTGGTGCTGTTCCTGCCGAAAAGACAAAAAGTAAGAATAAAAATTTCTGCTTTCTGAAAGCTATCATCCATACAGAAGATTTTTTCTTTTGCAGCTGTTTAACAATTTGTCTTCAGTTGAGGGGAAAAGAAAGACAGAATTTAGGAGATTATAAAATATGGTTTTGTCTTTTTTTAGGTTGAATGTGCCTCTTATGATTTTATTCTACCGTTCCAGGCACTTGGAGCGTTACAAGGCATCTGTAGCACTTGCCAACAAACCAGCCAACCTGGAGACGGAGACCGTCCCTCCGGACGTCATCGGTGACTTAGTGGTCTCCGCCTGGCCACGGAGCAGTTTCTTCGACGTGCGGAGCGGACCCCCAACCGTCGACAACGACTACCACGGCTTAGGCGGAGACTACGCTGAGCCCGACTATAGCACTATCCTTCCGCGGGCGTCTGTCAGGCACGAGTCGTCCAGCAGCGCCTACCAGGTCCCGCAATTCCCCGCCTACGCCAGGGCGCTCTTCCGGCCAGAGATGTCCCGCGGTAGGTCGTTGCAGCAAGCCTTGGTGGAAGAGATCGAACTAGAGAAACATGTCTATCAGGGTGCTATTAATGGAGCTCAGAGTGAGTCTGGCGACGATGAGGCGCTGGAGTCCCACTCCTTTGGCCAGGCGGAATTATTTGTTGTTCCCAGCGAAGAGAAGAGTGACGCTCTTGGTTACGCAAAAGTGGAGCTTAACCGAGGAGGTAGTCACCTTAGCTACCCCTCTCACCATGCTTGATTTCTACTCTAGCGTCATGGTTGGGAAATCTATGTTTATCTCTATTATTGTTGGTGTCATCTTGATCGTCGTCATTGTCATGGAAAAGTTTGTCGTCATAATCGTAAGTTTTGCCGTTAGTAGTGATGTTATCACCACATTCAGTACACCACCCACCATCACCACTGCCTCAGTCAAGCACCACCTCCACCACCATCACCATTATAACCTGTACTGTCACCTCATCTGTTGACCCCATCCCCACATCTGTTGACACCATCACCATAAAGATTTTTAACATCACCTTCACTACCGTCTACTTTGAAACCGCATTTTTTAAATGACGTACATCTTATTTAAATCGTGTAAAAAGCAAAATAAGAAATTCTACAAATCCTAATCATTAAAAACTTTTAGATACCATGTCTTTCCTTCATTTAATTATAGGCATGGCATTTTTAGAACACTCAACCCATGAAGACGGTTTGTTGGACTATTAATCACTTTTAAGTGATACAGATTTATAGAACTTGTGTTTCGTTTTTGTTTTAACTGTTTCACCTGCTCCTACAAGGTATGCAGCACTTGTGAAGTGAAGTTTGAGAAATCCTAATTTCCGTTAGAATCTTTCTAGAAAGTATTCTTTATATTATTTAAAGTATTTAACTAGAAAGCACAGATACATACCATATCGCCAACCGTCTTCACCGAAAGTTTTCGGTATTTTGTAATGAATACAAAACGAGTGAAAATGCTCGACTTTGGAATGTTGACAGCACGGGTGTTGTTGGGAATAAAATTGTTAGAAACTTGAGTGGTATTAGTGCCATTGATATTGCTATTGTCTTATTGGTCAGCATTTTTAAATATTATTGGTGCATCTTTCAATCATGAACTATACTGGCCTTAGTGCTTTGTATCAACAGAGGGCGCTGACACAAACCTCATTGCCTTATTTCAAGGCCAATAGGTTAAGTTACCGAGCTGTTGAAGTGACCTTTCACCAGCTTAATGACCCGTACGTTTTGCCCGCTCGACACTGACGCCTGATATTTCCAATCGGAAATGCCATAATGTCTCTTTAGTCGTGCCTAAGGGGAAACTTGAATCAAAAACTAAAAAAAAGTAAAATTGATGTCGGTTCCAAGCTACCTATTAAATACTTCCGTATAAGGTTTATAGCCACATTAACTTAAGACAGAATTACTGGTGCTTTATGTTTTTGGGAATTAATGGTTCGTTTCATTGTGGTTTCATTCTGATCTCTATACTAATCTCTGCTAATACATGTAAAATGATTGCACCTGACGACAAATTGATAACTTAGGCAGTTTCTAGCACAGCACATTCATTCAGTGGACAGTTCTGAGATTTTGTTTTCATGGAATGCCAAGTTTTTACCTACCCTCTACCCTTCAGCAATGATCGGCATATTTGTCCAGGGGAGGAAAAGGAACCACACCCGTGACCCTTGACCTTTTCTGAATGGAAATCCCTCCCTAGAAAAGTTTTCTGTAACCCCTCTTCTCAAGCGTTCCCCCACCGGTTTCCTTACATTTTGACAGAGATGCACAGCCTATTCCATCCCCTCTTCACATTTAACTCCGACCGAGCTGGAGAAGATCCATCAATCCTGTTTGTCCCCTCCAATCTGTATACAAGTCGTTGTACTAAACGTTATTTGATGTGATATTAATATGCTTTTGACACATTTCAATGGTATTCTGACATTTCTGGACCCACCGTACTGTAGCACGGTGTCATGATTAAGGCGTTCCATGACTCGGCCAAGAGCCCAGCTTTGCACGTACAGGTTATGGTCATGCTTCAATAACGTAAAGACTTGATATCTGTAATGCAGTCATTTTGCTGACGAGTTCCGAGATTGAAGAAACAGAGATATCTCTAAATGTGGCTGACTAGAGTCACAGTCTGCCGTAATACACGGATCTCTTCAATGTGTGATGTCATCAGGAGGCTAGCTCGCGGATATTATAACATTTCAGACCTGGAACAGGAGACACGCCGACTTGGACGCATTTCCACTCTGCGCTCTGCCGAGGCAGGCTGTACTGCACTGTGTGACGCCACAGGGGCTTGCTTGCATCTTGAAAAACAGACTTGTTTCGAGACTACAGTGGTAACCTGCTCTGTGGATCTCGGTCCGGGGTGTCTGAGCCCAACCTTAGGGTAATCTGTTGCGTAAATGAGTTACTCAAACTGTACCGGAACTGCTGAATAAAACACAATTGGCCAGGCGGATGTTGTAGGACGCTGCAGCCTACCATGCAAATTATATTTAGCCTCTAATCATGGTGGTAGTCATAGCTGGACCAATGTAGGATACAGTCAGATAGGATGTGCTCTCTAAATCTGCTTAGCTTCACAAGGCTGGAATGAACTCTTGGCCCACTTAAAAGACAGGTGTTTTTTCAATCGAGGAAAGCCCAACGCCCTAATCGTTAGAGATTTCTTTTCATGAGTGGAAATTTTACGCTGGTGGCTTTGGGAAACTACGGTATGCGTCTACGTTGTGGATTTTCCACCTCTTGAGGTTTTGTTTTCATCGTGTCGACCGCTGGAGAAGCCAGTTTTCAAGCCCGGAGAGGCTGAGGGTTTCTTCATTGAAAGTGCAGCGGCTTCAGAATGGATGTATGGTGGTCGGTCATTTCGTGGGCGCTAGTGATTGTTAGTGCAAGACAATTTTTGATTGCTAGAACGCAGATGATTGGAGGTAAGCATCATTCTTTATTATTTATAAACTATTTAAAACTGCTTTTAAAATCAAACAAAAAGGTAATTAATTCCTACACAAAGGATCTTGTTGACCACAGAAGTGGCTTAGTGTAAGTTTCTGGTATCTATCGTTTGTACTGAGATGTCGAACTGTCTGTAGGTATTAGATCTCATTAGGAAGAATGGATTGATTTCAGTTTTTGTATCGGGATGTTTAAGCGGGAAACTCACTTTCTCAAAACATGATTGTCGCATCACCTGTACAGAAATGAAGAGTTGCCACAGCGACAAGGCCCGAGGGACTGGGGAAATCGTTAGGCGACAGGATTGGTCTTGCAACAACTTACTCCTCAACTACTAAAACAGGGAACTATGAAAATCACAAGAGCCATTCAAAGAATGGCCACTAAGTCTGCACAGAAAAACGACATTTCGACATTACACCTCGCCCATAGGCAATAAAGAGGGACCACGCCCCTGGCCTGACCTATTCGATTAACACCCATCCACATACGTCAATGTCTGACCCGGTAGCCATGGCGAGCAATCTTGTTAGGCGGCATGACACAAGCCCGTCCCTCAATAAACGGCGGGGGCGATTCAACTGAGGGTCTAAGTCAGTGCCAAGTTTATCAATTGTGAAAGATTTCAAAAGCAAAAGACTCCTTTGCATTCTCGCAGATGGGACGTTAGTACTTCGCCTCAGTGTATTTCTCTTGAAGACATGCAAACGGTTTAGATCGTGGTTATGTCTTCGAAGACGCAATTACAACCTTGAAAAATATCTTTCATATGATTCAAACTTATTACCCCATTCTCAAACAATGTCTTAAGTTTATGCCTGTGTGACATTGCTGTTAAAGATCAGAAGATCGAAAAGCAAATCCCTCGCGATATAGTACGGGATCCATATTTTTATTAGACCCATCTATTCCAGCAACTTTAAGAATCGTTTCTTTTGGGATAGTTTGGTACTCTATTTGTGAGTAGCGACCCATAGCTGGGTACCTTCCTATGAGTTGAGAGTTTCTGCGTCTTGCCAAGTCTTGCATGCCTGCCTTTGCCTTGGCCATGTGCCGTGAATATGACGCACAGTTTCCACCGGAGATTCTCGGATTGACACCCAATCTTTTTTTATCTTCAACTGAGACAAGTTGCATTGCTAGGGACCGGGCAATTTTCAATATTTTGCGCAATCAGTTATCATGTCGATTAATTAGATCCAAAGTAAGGAGAGGGGACTTTTAAGATAATTTAGGACTTTAATAGTGTGCTCAATTTTCCAAATAACGTCATGAGGCACGATTCTGGACCAAATTCTTGCGTGAGACTCATTTTGTTGAAGTAATCAATTCACTAAAAGGTTAATGTGGGAAACTTTGTGAACAGCTTTTTTAGTTAAAGGTTCTCTTTTTAACAGGGAATGGAACGTGGAACTGGGTACTTGCTTGTTTGCTTTTGTTTGCTTCGAGACGGATCATGTTTCATGATAAAAATATTCACGTGACCTTTACGGCTTGACTCGTGATGACATTTTGCTCATGACACTTATATAGGAAATTCGCTAAATGGTGAAGAAACTTTCTAGGAAGTGGCAACTTAAAAAAGGCATCCAAAATAGAAAGGTTAATACGCCAAGCATATCAGAAACGAAGTTACTGCACTTAATCCATAGTTTCTCAATTTCTAAAAATACAAAACCGTAAAGAGAACTTTCAGATCATGTATTAGCTTTAAGTAAAATGGTCCCAGCCGCCGCGCGGCCGGGCCCTGGCCGGCCTTCACTCTCGTTGTACCTCGGGGCTTCGCCTGGCGGCACCCCGGCTCGCCCAGTGTCTATTGCAAAGTTACATTCAGCGAGACCTATGTCCTGGTCTACCAATCAAAAGGACTTTGTTAGTAATAAGATGACGTTTGACTAATGCTCACGAAAGATAAAAGCAAAATTAGATGTAGTCACGTGGCGCGTTCCTCAGTGGCTGGTAATCATCATATACCGCGATGATTAAGCCTTCAGGTCTTCACTGGTTTACCGCAGATCTCCGTCTGGCTGACGGACCCGCGCCCAACGCGGGTCGTGTGGAGTTCTACTTGGGCTTCCGCGGCTGGTACTCGACCTGTGATGCTAGCTGGAGTATCGACGACGCCATTGTGGTCTGCCGACAGCTGGGATTTCCAGGGGCCGCCTTGGCTCGCAATAACAACCATTACAGGGGTGGGGCCGGGGTTCCTTTGGCCCGTGATTGGGAGTGCACAGGTGGTAAGACCATTTGGATCCCAATTTGTGGGCGGGGAAAGGGGATCCTAGTGTCCTTGCACGGATTATTCAGCGGAAGCTTATTAAAACAATATTGTTTCCTGTGACCAATACGAGCTGGGAATAGCTGAACCTAGTTTTTAAAAATTGAGGAGAAAGTGTACCTGTTTTACCACTTCAAGATCGATTAAATGGTTTATAAATCAATGAGTCGTTCCGTTAGTCAGTCACACTGCTTAAAAAATGAAAGTGTATCTGTGATGGATGCCTGTTGGTGGACCGCGATATGGTACGCAATTGGAAATCTCGGTAGAATGAGGTTAGAACACTTTAGCATAATAAACTACTTAACCAAATAACAAATTGGGACAAAAGAGGGGAATTTCACGACTTGAGAACTACACTAGTTCTTGTGAACTCAGCACTTTGTTTTATAAAGAGGGCAATTAAGATGATTTTCTCATCTGAAATACCTATTACCTTTTGGCTCTAAGCCGTAGGGTCCTAGACGTGAAATCGTTTGGAAGCAAACCAGCCAATCTTAGAACAGCTTTCATAAAGGTTCATATTACTCATTTCCCCTCGGCTGAGGCCATTGGTCCAGGCATGATTAGCTGCCCAGGGAGCCAATAAGTGGAATAAAGGCGATGCTGTGCATGTTTAACAGAGGCGAGATTCGTCTTCACGTATAAGAAGTACTGGTTACGTTTTCAAACACTTGGAAGAGCACAATTTTGTGGCTTTTGAAAATATTTTGGCGCTCTATTGAATTAATATTTGCCCGACAAAGCTGAACTTAACGAAGCAGACATGAAAGAGGTTTGCACTCTTCTATAAGTACGGGCTTATTCAGAGATCTGGCTGGAAAAGGGCATGATGAATCGCGACCAACTACCTCTCTTATTGAAAAAGTCTCATCATTTGTCGTTATTGCTCGTTTGTTTTACCAGATGAAAACCGTTTGCAGGATTGTAAGTTCACTCCAAAACAACGTTGCCTTGATACTGTTGGGGTCGTCTGCCAAGGTGAGTTTGAAATTGTATGTATTGATGTTAACTTGTAATCGGGCTCCCTTGAAAGACTTTCTGAGACAGCTGCTAGTCTTTTAGATGTTCTTAAAATATCATGACAGAGTTTTAAATTTAGACAAAAACTTCGAGAGTTATCTGAATAATAAAACTAAGTGTCGACCCAAGATTTTTTCCTCCTGTTGAGAAATGTTGCCCAACAAATGATCTTTCACACTACATGTATATTGCAACATTCAGTAAGTCTTTTTAGACACCGGAGGTCTGAGGGCTAGTGTATGAGTGGCAACCATGGCGTTTTCTCACGTGGTTGAGCAGAGTACATCAAACGCACGGATGAATGAGTCATGTTTAAGTGACGCGAATTGAGGAACAGAGCCAGAGCGAGTATGATTCATAACGCTGAAAGAAAGTGATTTTATTATCATTATATAAGATACAAAACAATGGAGTTTCATTGACACTGGGTATTGCAAAGAAAGCGGTCTAATGGTTCGCATCATTGCCCCTGCCTCTGACAAAAGGTAACTTTTTGGTTACTTTGTCGCATTTCCGGCCATGTGTGGTCATATTGCTTGTTTTGGCGCACCAAACTGCCTATTTGGCGTCGTAAGACATGTTTTGTTGAGTATCGTGAGAATGCTGCATCACCAAGTGTCGTTACATTGCATAGGGTCAGTGTCGTCAAAGTGCTGCCTTAGTGTCGTCAAATTGTCGTTTCAGTGTCGTCAAATTGTCGGTTTAGCGTCGTCACATTGCGGGTCCCGTGTCATCACGTACTGCCGGTCTAGTGTCCTTACATTGCCGATTAAGATTTGTCGCATTGCCGGTTAACAGTCGTCAAATTACCGGCTGTGTTTCGTCAATTGCCGGCTCTTTTTCGTCAATTTTCCGGGTGTGTTTCGTCAATTGCCGGCTCTGTTTCGTCAATTGTCGGCTGTGTTTCGTCCATTGCTGGCTGTGTTTCGTCAATTGCCGGCTGTGTTTCGTCAATTGCCGGTTCTGTTTCGTCAATTTCCGGGTGTGTTTCGTCAGTTGCCGGCTGTGTATCGTCACATAATCGGCCCGGTTTCGCCTCATTACGAGCTCCGTTTTTGAGACGTCAAATTGCCGTTTTTCGAGTCGGCGCATTGCTGGCTAGGTGTTGTGGCCTTGCTGATCCTGAGCCCTCAATCTTCCCCACTTTCACTATTCCAGAAATGAACAGGGGATTGCAATTGGAACCCAAGTCGAGAATATTCACATTAACTCAACAGATACAAATCCAGACATTTGTGCCAAATTTTCATACAGTTAATGACAACCGCTGTCTACGTCTATTACCGTGGTGATTAATAACTTCCGTTTTAAAACTGCTGATACACGATGTGAGAAAAGCTTAAAAGGTTCTTGGGCAATTGAATCATTTAATCACCAAAATATATCATGGTTACTCTTTCGGGGAAAAGTAGTTCAAGTACGAAAATGAGCAATCGTTGCTTTTTAAGTAAGGTTTTCCGGGATCTCTGTCCTGCAAAAAGGATCTCACTGGACGTTTAACGGTCGACAGGTCATTGAACTCCCCTTACGTGTGCCACATTGTCTTGTTTTTCTGCTAGCAAAGGTTTCATTTCTGTTCAAAAAAAGCTCGGTGCTAGATAAATAGAAAGCGTCAGATTTCATTTAGTGAGAAAGCAAGTAGGATAATGTGGCACAATTCCGCTTCACCCGACATAAACTCACGAAGACACCTGACATAAACGTACGCACAGTTTAATTAAAAATGTTGATGTCACAGCAGTTGATGTAACTACATTGGAAGGGACATGTGGAGCGATTTCAACCTGTTAAGCTCCTGTATGTTCGTCATGAGCTTACTCATACAACTTACACGGCATAAAAATCAAGAGCTTGTACACGTGTGGTTTTAATCGTTGAAGTGGGCCACGGCCGTGTTTACAGGAGTTTGTTTCTGCATTTAATCGGGGACCCTTGACAAAGGGTCCCCGATTGACAACTGTGTACAAAACGTATGGGTGGTCTTCTAAAAAAGTTAAGGTACAAACAAAAGATAGGGGGTCCTCAGTTGCAGGCAAATACACACTTGTGGTGTGTGTTTGTGTAGACTTTTATGATATGAACGTGCCCGTACACGGATATTACTGCTCGTACTCAGAACATACATGTGCGTTATCGCTCCTACTTCAGCGCGATGAGCCCTGCATGCGTACTCGCACTCACTCCTAGATAAGACGTGTTTGAGTTCTAACACTCTTATCTGTATGCAGGTGTAAGACACTGCTCAGGGTGCTTTATTACTCGGAGATCCCCTCTGAGAGAGCAACTGTACCAGAGAGTAAAATTAACTCGATTCTTTCTCTTTCAATTGTGCGAATGCTCCTCAACAGCACCAGGATACCTAGGGTGCTACTCCGACCCAAGCGGCTCTTTCAACTCTCGCCTACGGGACGGCTTCGTCGCCTTGCCCAGCATGAATGTGTCGGCGTGTCGGGAACACTGCCGGAACAGTGGCTCGCTGCTGGCCGGTCTTAAGAACGGTAAAGAGTGTTACTGCGGGCGGTTCTACGGTGCCGTCCTGCCGGGCGATAAGCTGTCTGACCGGCAGTGTCAAATGCGATGCGCTGGCAACGAAGAGGAAGTGTGCGGTGGATCGAGATCTCAGCTTCGATCCGTGACTGCGTTAGACACGATATCAGTGTTTGATGGTGAGTTGCACTCTGTTTTACTTCTTTTGCTTGGAAGAGTACAAAAAAAACCCAAATTTATTTGATGGGCACACTCTCTCTTGGTTTGAAACCAGAATGAGTCCATACTTTTCGTGAATTGATTCAAGATGATTCTTTACACAGGACAGATACTAGATTAAAGTTCCCTTGCATGCTCCGAAGTGTCACATATACTGTTGGGTTTAGTTTCATGACTTGGTCTCTCTCTACCCTTTAGTGCCGTGAGCCTGTTTTTCTTGTTCTTTGCTTGGCTGGAGGCTTTGCTCATCTGCCTTGCTAAAGTACCCTGTTTATTTAAAATTCAAGATGCTTTCTGCCAACTTGCCTAGAGGATATTACTCGACAACAGATAAGTACCATTACCTCCATAACATGAATTTTTTTCTCGCTTGTTTTACAGTAAAACTAGGTCGGTGTGACCCGCCCACCCAGCTCGCTAATGGGCGTGTCCTTGGAAATAAGTATTCATATGGTGACGTCATCCACTTCGTGTGTGGGCAAGGCTACCAGCTGCGCAACGCGTCTGCGGCGTCGGCCCGCTGCGTCATGGTCCGAGACGGGACAGGAAGGACCGTGGGATGGGAACAACCGGTTCCCGCGTGCCAAGGTGATCACTTTGTCTGTAAAGTGGAGCGCCCGAAACAGGTGGTAGACTTGTCTGGTTGTTCCAAGTCTCGCTCTATTTTCAGTCGAGCAAGGGAAGTAAGAATCAAAATGTTAAAGCCCCTGCAGACATGAGACCTTTTAAGTTCAGACTAACTTGGGAGGTGGAGCTGCTGACATAATAACACTCTGGCTGCTGATGGACAACCTTGTAAGGAGAAGTAAAAGCGTTTAGGAAATTCATTTGGTGCAAACCGTTTGAGCCCCAAGCAGAGGGAGTTGCTTTTCGTGAAGTAATTTCTGTTCTTACACAGCAATTTTAACCAAACCTGAGCAAGAGACGTAAATCCAAACAAAACAGCCTGAGCCACATCTAATCCACAGGTGTTTCTACCTGTGTGTTCTACTCTTCAAGAATATCCTCGCCCTTAAAGACCCTGTTCTCAAGAACATTTTTCAAACTTAGGAGTATGTGGTCGAGTCCCGTTTATTCAGCTCACGATTTGACACCAACCAGCTGCGTGTTTACAAACTCTGGAACACCTTGAGACATAACATGGCACATTGGATTATCCACCATGCCCCAGGGATGATCAGGGATCTCTCTTAAGTCCTACTAACACTAACAGTCTAGCGAGAAGATGGGTCGTCAACCCGTCATGTACAAGCCGAGCCAGAACACATGGCCCTGTGAACTCGAAGCTCCCCTGCGCCCCTCGCGGGCCGAAACCTGTAAAGTCTGGGTGCTGGGTTTCCGGGGCAGCCCTGGCAAACTCCATCGAAAGGCATACGGCAGGAACTGCGGTTGCTCCGTCACTTGACAACCGATGACCTGACTTTTTTGTTTGACTCTGATGTTAATCACTACATACAAACCAATCATTTATGCTATTGTCGTCACAGGATGCCTTCCTACCTAGTAACCATCACCCCAGTTGAAGAGTTTAAGGTTACTCCTATATCAGCCCCGCATCCAGGCCAGTTCTGTCGGATCTGCTCGGCCAAAAGTTCAGCTTTTGGTTACATTTCCTGCCTTTCTTATTTAGATATACCCATTTCCTTCACCCTTTGAAGTTTAAAAATCGAAAGCTCCACAGTTTCGGATATCAAAACCTTTGTGAATTTCCGGAGTATTATTGACGGCTGTTGGGTGTATTCTTCACATTTCAGCTGCTGGCATAATTGTCCTTATTTCTCCGCATTCCTTCGGTTGTAAATGCACTCACGGATGTTTTATGTACTCTCCTTTGTGAACAGTTGCGATTGACAGCAAAACTAGGATGACACAAGACGACAAGTTTACCGGATACGGTAAGACGTACGAGTTTTCTTTATGTTGTTTACAAGAGGACGTTTTTCAAACTTCTAGGAGGATAACTTCTATTTTTACCCCCGACAAAAATACAACCCTTTCTGTTATGAATATAATCAGTTTAAAACAAGTAAGTCCCTTCCTTAAATGTCAGGCAGCCGAATCCTAATCTTACCCAGTGCGCGTCTGCAGACAAGCACGATTCGTTACACCCACGCACCTGCTATAAACGTACACTTGGCACATCGCATCTACGATCCGGGTATACGAGTAAAGGCGCCTTTCCATACGTGCGTCAACACTTGCGCCAAGCGTTGCGTATCCGTCAAAATCCCTCCCAGGGCGATTTTGACATTCGAACGCAACGCAAACGTGTATTATGTTAACGGAGTCGATTTTTGTGTTCGTGAAAAATGAAATGCATGGACGCATCGTGTACGCAACGCATCCAAAAAAGGTACATATGGAAAAGCCTTAATGCAAGCAAATCGTGTACGGGCAGTCGAGTGCGCACTGATTTGCATGCTTCAACAAGCCGTGCTGCGTAGCATACGGTTTCCGTGTCCAGAGCACGTACGGGCCGAGTTAAAAGTGTAGCATGGCGGGCATAGGCTGATCGTATACGACATGCAAGACAAGAAAAATCATTTCAGGGGCTCACCCACTTACATACGGTTGATTCCGGAGTGGTTTATGTTGACAAGTATACCCCACGCTTCATACTTTTCTCCCTACCTCTAGCTATGAAAATCTCGAAATGACGTCCTTAAAATTTCGGTTACGATTCATACATTTCAGCACTGACCTTATCTTCGATCAGAAACGCACCCGGGCAATGACATAGGATTATTATGTGAATTGGAAATTGGCAAGTTGACAAATGGTACGCTAGAAATCCAAAGTGATGGTGATTTATGAGTGGGTATCTGAAGGCTTATGCAAGTTATTTTTCTGCACATTGAATTGTACTAATTGATATGACGATGTTTATTTATTGATGACACTTACATACATGTGTAAGTACTTATGAATATTCATGTTTTAAATATCATGTTATTTCGAATTTCGTTATTTTTATAGAAACCATTCATCGCCAGCACACCCTTCTAGCTGTCCTTGCTTGTCTTGTAGCCATACTGACCACGGCCATTTTGTTCATTCTTGTCAAGCGCCGAATAGCGAGGAAAAGGTGAGACGGAAAAAGATGCCATGTACAATTGGCGTCAGTAGAGGGCGGTAAAACGTTCCTTCTGCCTTAGCCACCCCCCCCCTCAGAGAGTTTGTTCGAAAACTTTTCATCACGATATAGTAGTATACGTATTGTGCTGGAATAGAGTTCTTTGAAATCCGAATGTTTTCCATACGCATTATCCACCTTGAGCAGAAGCACGCCTTCAGCGGTTGAAAAGAGCCATATTGGTGGGGGGGTGTTCATTTAATTGGTAGCTATGCGACTTCAACGCTTGCGTTTCATAATCGTTCGTGAACCAGCGATGCATAGTTACCACCAGAGAAGCCCCCGTTGTTTAGATAATAGCACCCTATGTTGGTCCAGGTCGGAGCCCGTAATAGAGTATTCCTGTATCTTTTCCCCATAATAGTCGTCATGTGGCATCAAACAGTAAAGACTCACGTGGATTCATGGATAGTCAGAATCTAGCCAAAACCGTATTAATCATCTTTGATGGACACTGTAACGCATTCAGTGATAATTTTCTGTCGTTTTTCCTCCTTCCAGGGCTACAAGGAGTAACCCAGACCCGCCTCCTTGTTATCAGGACTTGGTCATGGATTACGAGCCCATTATGGACCCAAAGACCGGTCACTACCCGGTTGACCGAGGTAGTTGCTACCAGACCCTTAAGCCGCCTGTACCGAACAGATCTCCCCGTTACGCCATCCGCGTCAACGTCCCAGGGCACATCAGCTATCCGCAAGAACTATGGAATCGCTGATTGGCGCTGGTCAAAAGAGAAAGCAAACTGGTGACGTAACTATGATGTATGACAGCTGGTCTGCTCAGGTTGTTTTACCGAGTGATAAGGTGACTACATTTAAGATGACTGTTTGCTCATAAATATTATTTCTGGGTGAACTCTGTCCTTCCTATATTCCAGGTGCGTCAGTAGTTAATTAAAAATGACTGCATTGCAGGTTACTGCATCAAAATATATTGCATTGTCTTGAGGCTAAGACTGGACATGAAGTTCACATTTTAGACAAACCGAAGAATAGAATCATTCAGCCGGACTTTCCACTATTTTATATTTCACTTTAAAGCGATTTCTAGGTCAGCCGATGTCATTTCATGTGTATCTTGCTCAAAGCTGAATGTCTGGCAAATAATTATAGCCATGTTTTCGAAACAGAAGTTCATTCAAGCCCTTGAAAACCCCCTAACGTTACTAGCAGAGAGTATGCTGAAGTCTTTTTTCTGTTTGAAAAATTTTTAGTAAAAACTTTCCAAAAGTTTGTTACACTAAATGCATTTACGGGTTTTTATTGACATCTATATATAAGTTAGGTATTGAATGTTAAGTGTTTCCAATTATCGGTTGCGATATTTAAATGTTTTTATTCTTTTTCAAGTACAATTTCTTTACTTTTTCAGCATTGCACGCTTTTTGCGTCTTGTTTCAACTGGGTTACCCCTGGTAGTTGTAACAGCACCCAGCCCTGGGTGGTGCTCATTGAAAAGATTGAACGTAACAATATATCGTGCAAATCATGTAATGATTCGCACAATTCTTAGCAATAAGAAATGCCACCAATGCCGAACAGTGAAAGTGGACACAAAGCCATTGTATGAAATCAACGCATGCGCACGAGACAGAGATGTCGAAGCCACGAACTAATATTAATCGATTTTTGTCTCTCTTTCATTACTTTTTTTATATTTGCACATTGACCTTAACATTGATTGTTATTTTCATCTGATGTACATTTTCAGCATAACGGAATTTATGGTTTCATTCTTAACGAATGCGTTACCTGTGTATAAGTGTAAGTTAAATTTGAAATAAACTTTTCATACCATCAAACCTTCAATGAGAGAAACCTATCCAGAGCAACTGTAGTCTCCTTGCTTGGTCGTTCTTGCTCTAAGCCCAAAGTTCTCGAGTTCGAATTAAGCCACAACTTTCAATTTGTAGTACAGAATACAGATCGATTCCTTATACATGTATATTTAAAATTCACTGTCAGATTTAGAATAATGTCGGTGGCCTGGAGGTTGAGTGTGAGATTTCTATTCCTGCAACCCAGGTTCGAATCAAGGGGATGCTTGCTTTTACTTGCAATCGTCTTAGCCGAGTCTTTTAGATAAATATATGAAAACAGCGTTCCTTTCTGGGGACCCAGATTGGGTAGCCGGTAGAGGCCTCGGCTGCGGAACGAGACGACCCAGGTTCGAGTCCCGCCTCGGACAGAGATGTCCGATGGAGGGAAACGCCTGGGATCGGAGATCCGTGGCGGTTGTGTAGCTAACTAGATAAAATAAAATAAAATAAAATGGAATTTTACTCTTTTTCTGGGCTGAGGTACAGGTAAAAAAAGGAATAAAAGCCTCTGTTATTTACACTGCCGGGATTCGAACCCACGACGACTCGATTGAACGTCAGAGTGCCTACCACTAGGCTAACACGCTCTTCTTAACTTAAAGAGTTTGGAAGATATATATAAATGTTCTGTTCAGATCAACGCAAAACAAAAAAGTCACACAGAAATTAAGTCTGCCGGGATTCGAACCCACGACGACTCGATTGAACGTCAGAGTGCCTACCACTAGGCTAACACGCTCTTCTTAACTTAAAGAGTTTGGAAGATATATATAAATGTTCTGTTCAGATCAACGCAAAACAAAAAAGTCACACAGAAATTAAGTCAGCGCACATGCGCTCTTCTGATCTAGATTCTATAAAGACGACTGGCTGTGCCAACATGGCGCGCATGCCCACTAGCTCCCATATTTTCCCTTAGCCAATTTTCGAGAACAGGGATGTTATTAGGATGTTCTCTTGTAAAAAGCGCGAGTCAATTTTTTGGTGCACCTGTGTTTTTCCGAACATTTCTAAAAGAACCTAGTCCTCTTCTCTGAGGACCCACATTTCTGAATAATTTTAATCATTATTATTTTTGAATAATTATGTAAGAACGAATTATATGCCCAAGAACGTTCTGGCCAAAATGGGCAAATTGGACATAACCTGATTATTGATTTGGAGAGTTCAAACGAGTCCTTCAGACTTGCAATTCGGTCTTTTAAATGTAAGCGCGAAAAGGCATCGTCTGCAGCCGATTACATTCACGTTGCTTTGTAGCACAAAACTGTACCAAATTAGCTAGTTTCGATATTGAGGGCGCTATTGATGAGTGTCAGCTCTCAATGTAGCAATGTTGACATCAGCTGTGTTCGTTGGCCGGATCGTCATCTAAACACGAAGAAAAAATAACCAAATGTGAGCTCATAGCGCAGTTTTGGTATTCCAGGAGAACAACACTTAAATAAACTTGGTTGCGGGTGAAAAGAAAGACATAAATGTGGGACTAAAAAGCCTCGACTCCCACTTTAACACACAACAAACAAAAATGTCTTCTGAATACATTTATTTATGTTGGTCATTTCTTTGAAGAGTACTGAATACTGAAATACGCCAATATGGATTTAATTTTGATTTGATTTATTTACTATTTCCACAAAATATTATTACAAAAAAAATTAAGAAAAGCAAATTCAAAGATTCCCAAAAGTTGAAATAGTAGGGATAACGCAAAAAAAAATTTAATTAACTTATTTCCATTGCGGTACCAATCGCATTTTTCGCAATGTTTTTAACACAATTATTGTGTTTGGTATTGCCAGAGGGGCCAATCTAGTTCTTTATAATATTCAACTTCCTGCCTCTCTGTACATGCAGAACGATGAGACACCGTACACTTTGATTTTGCACAGAAGTCACTGTGATCCACATTTATGAACTGGATACATCTAATGACGTCCATTGACGACAGGCCTCTTTCCAGTCTTCCAAACTGAAGGTTTCAGTAAAAGAAAAAGAAATCCCAAAGACGATTTCACTTACTTCACGATATTCTGTGAACAAGTAGTTTTCAAATGAGAGTCCGAATCTTCAGCTGTTCAAAATCCAGCCACAAGTCGATGAGCGACAGGTGTATACGTCAACTTACACGTCTTGCACTTTCTCGACGAAGGGGTTTCGGTGCGACTTTGCCATAACATGTAGTAATGGAATGGAATTGTCTTCAGTAACGCTCGACCGTGGCTTGCTGGACAACTGTGACATGCACATGAATGCTACCACGTCACAGTGCAAAGACTTGTCAACAAAACATTCACAATATGGCTGATACATACAGACCAGGCACCGTGCACAGGATTTCCCTGTATACACGCTTGAACAGCCTAAGCGTTGGCATAACAATGGTACATTATCTTAACAATGGAAAAGGAATTCTCCAGTTTTTTTCTCTCTCTTTTCAACAACTTCACTTACTTGCCAGTGTCTAATCCTAATTGACAATATG